GGCTGTCAAATCGAATATTACCTGCTCTGCACAGCCCTATCTATTATCATACAGTTCACCTATGGAAGGGCAAAAAATCATCGTCTCATCTAATGTAGTCTCTACATATATTTATCCTATGTATTTACTACAGCTGTTTAGCTCAGATAATGACAATGATTGTCACATTAGTTTGACTGAAACTGCTGTTTAAGTTCACTAACAAAATGCTGCGAATTGTTGCTTTAAAATGCTATGAATGAAACTGTTTTAATTGACACATTTCAAACAATGTTAAACTTGAATCTTATTTCCAAATTTTGCCTAATCTAATTGACTTGACTAAATAAGATCCTTTTAAATTCTGACTTTGCAGAACACATTCACCATCACCAGGTGTACCTATTTCCACTACACTTTCTTAGTTTTATTCTTAGCAAGTCTCAGAACTACCTGTGGGTCCTTAGAGCTCAGGTCAGGGTAGTGAATAGTTGTATGACTAAATAAATGTTTCTTTTCATATGATGGTCAGGTATTTAAAAATGTGTTTTGTTTTTTTTTCTCATTGGGTGCTATGAAAAGGAAAAATTCTTCTGAAGAATGAAATGATTCTTACTAGCTGCTGTTGACTTGTTTTTAACAAGCCACTCTTCTTAAGAGTTCAGTCCTCCTTGGAAACAGTCGAATGTTACAAGGAAGCACAGAGAAGGAGGGTGTGGCTTGTTTCAGGGGAAAGGTCTCCAGAGACCCAAGGTAAGCTGCCCTTTGTGCCTTGAACAGTTTTCTCTTACTCTGCAAAAATCCCTCCAACTGTAAAATGACCAGGGACTTTATTCTTTCAAATTGCTGAAGTCGTGTTAACGAAGGACACTTGGATCTTTTCCAGATCAGATTCAAATGAACCATATCAGTAGGGTGCAAAAAACCAGAAAGGGCGTGTGGGAAAGTTTGTGTGTGCAAGACTTAATCTTCCAAGAAGTTCTATTCGGATGATAAGGAACATAACGATGTGACCTGTGATGGTGTGATCTAGTACATGAATTAATTTGAATTCTAAACTCTGTCCCTGTTTTCAGATAGAGCTCAGAAACCATTGAGGTAAGCATGAAGGCAGGGTTTCTGGAGTTCAAACAGGTGTTATATTAGCCGCCTGTATGTGTTCATTGTGCTGCCCCAGAATCCGTGTCTTTTGAATAAAAAAATCCATCATCCCAGACTCCAGTGTCATAAGGGCAACCTCATGCCTGATAGGGTAGCTGCTACCTGGTAGCAATGTAGTAGCCTTGCTGACCTAAAAGAGGATTCCTGACACACACACTGGTACCTGTCTTATCTATTAATGCTTGGGGTAGTCTGGAACCTTGATAAATAATTTAGTTGATTATATGAGGCTAGTTAGGGTCAGCCACTTTGGCAGGCATGCCACCCTTTCTGAATGCCCCTCTGATCCTTTTCCCCTGTTAGGGCAGAAAGCAGAGTAGCAGATCTGTCTGCCACTGCTGCATGTCCCCTGGCTTAACAAGGAATAACGGCCACAAGTCG